CCATGACCAATAACATATCTACCAAGGTGAAGCTTTGTGTTTTTTTTTAACTTCAAATATAAATTCCACAAAGAATATAGAATCAGAGTATTCAGCTTAAAAAGTACCTGAATGAATTCTTTCTTTTGTAATCAAATTGGTATTTGGTTAGAGTTACTGCTTCTACCGTGGTTAGCTTCATGGTTGCTTTGTCTTTCTTGAGGATGTATTTTAATTTTTGAAAGATGTAAATAGTTTACATAGACAGGAATGGGAATGGCTATACTTTTTCTAGTTCAAAAATTAAAATGGTGGCTGGGCACGGTGGGTTATGCCTGTAATCCCAGCACTTGGGAGGTCAAGGTGGGTGGCAAGCTCAGGAGTTCAAGACCAGGGTGGGCAACACGGTGAAACCCCACCTCTACTAAAATACAAAAAATGAGCCAGGCATTGTGGCATGTGCCTGTAATCCCAGCTACTCAGGAGGCTGAGACTGGAGAATTGCTTGAAGCCAGCAGGCAGAGGTTGCAGTGAGCCAAGTACCATTGTACTCCTGCCTGGGCGATGAAACGAAGCTCTACCTCAAAAAAAAAAAAAAATCACCTTGTATATATCTTTCAATATTTGTGAATGAGCATCTTCTGGATGAATTTCTAGAAGCAGGATTACTGGGTAAATGCATACACAGTTTTGCTGGATACTGCTAGCTTCACGGAGGGTGAACTATGGTTTGTACTCCTGGCGCTGATTCCGCAACCTCGGGAGGCCTTGCTATGAGGTGTTCTAAGCTGAGCGATTCCTTGAACCTTAGCTGAGTGTCTTTGACCTCCCTACCAATGAACTCTCAACTCCCTTTTTCACACACCAAGTGAAGTAGCAAGCTTTACAAGAGGAAGAGGGTCTTATTAATCCCATCCCAGTTCATCTTCCCAGAGTTGTCCCAGGGATTTGTGCGTGAAACTTGGGAAACTAGAGCAGAGGTGGGTGACGAGGCTGAGGATCTCAGGCAGATAGGAACTGGGTTGAGGGGAGGTAGAAACGAGGGCTCTGCTACTTGACACCTATGTTCTCACCCCTTTTCTTTCCTTCGGCCTCTCCACTATCCCTTCACACACAGACTGCCTCTCAACAGCCTCTTCCCTGATCCAGAGCCCTTGGCTGATTCTCACTAGAGCCTGCCTGGTTTCCCATCTCAACCCAAGTTCATGTAGGCTGAACACAGAGGACTGGCTTAAGCTAGAGGCGGAAATAGAAAGTCCCTGTCATTTCTGTTTTAACATGTGCAGAGGAAATAAGTCAGTGGAACAAGAATGGCTCACACAAGGGAAAGAGGAAAGAGGACACAAAGATAGATGCTGGCAGAGGAAGCCAAGGGCAAAACATTCCACGCAAGCATTTTGGACTCCAGCCCCAGGGCCTGCTCTAATCCTACGACCTGCAGAAAAGGGGAAATGATCGGAGAAAGCTTGTCACCCCAGTCTGACAAGTCAGGGGCCTTGCTTTTCTCCTCCCTCTTTCCTTCTCACCCCTACCCACCAAATACCGACTGGTGAAGACAGGAACCAATGCCTGTCTAAGAAGCAGGGAAATGGGCTGGGTGGGGAGCCTTGCCTGAGGGGCATCCTTGGAGGGAAGAATTCAGATGGCCTGAAGAACCCTTCTAGGGAAGGGCAGTTAAGACTCTGGGTGGGGTGTTCCCCTTCAAGGTCAAACACTTTGGGCCAATCTAACTTCAGCCAAACAGATTTTTACGGGTTTGGCTAACTGGGTTTGTCTTGGTCATTCTGGGGACCAAGAATGAACAAGATCCTTTCCTCTGTCCAATGCTTAGTGGGTCCGCAATATTCTTTCCTAGTGGGGAGGGCTGATCCATGTCTTTGCCGGGAGCATTGAAAAACAAGAGAGAAAAGAGCCCATCTGGGTTCTGGAGTTTTGGAGGGAAACTAAATCCTTGAGTAAGAGGCGGTCTCCGGTGGAAGGTGTGACCTGCTGACAGGTGGCAGGGAGCAGCCCAGCCCCTGTTCCTCTGGGGACCTCCCAGTCAGTGGGAGTGGGTAAGAGTAAAGCCTCCCGATATCCTGGCCCAGGACGTCCAGCCCCTACACCGTGCCTTACCTCTTCCAGCACCCACACCCAGCAAATTCTAACTGCTCTCCTTCCGCCCCTAACTGGGCCTTCCTATTTTTGGTTTTCTACTGACCACAGCAATGTGATAAATCTGCCTAGCCACGCCCTGTCGCCTCTACCGTGGAGGCCGGACGGCGGGTTAGGAACCCGCTGGCATCAGGCTGATTCCAAAGCCCCCCAAACTGCCCGTATTCTCTCAGCGCGCACTGACCCAGAGCTCTAATGTCCCAGGCTCGGCGCTGGGCGTTGGGCGCTGGGCTCCCGGGGGTAAGACGGGCTGCGCGCCTCCCACTTGACCTTGAATCCCGAGACGTGGTGGTAAATGGAAGGGAGAAGGGACTGGGGCTCGGCACGACCTGGGAGGCAGGAAGCCTCGGTTCGCAGCTCTGAGCGCATTCTCCTCGGAGTTCTCAGACTACGGCAGAGCCCCGGAGGGTGGAGCCCAGCGGCGGAGAGGCTGGCGGGGCGGGGTCGCAGAGGCCGCGGAGAGAGGAGGGGCCCCGGGAGCGCGCACTCGATCCGGCCCCGAGCCCCGGGGGAAGGGCTGGGGCCGCGGGAGCCGATTCCCTCTTTGGGCGCCACCCCGGGCTCAAAGCCGCGGGAGCAGGTACCCCGGTGCGCGCTAAATAACGACTTCCTGGAGAAGCCGTCCCCGAGCCCTTCAGCATCGACCCCTCATCAGATTCCTGAAAATAGGAAGGCCGGCTGCAGGAATAGTGGCACTGTGGGCCCCCACGATAGGAGGCCGCTGCGGAAGCGGCGTGATTTTTGGAGTTGTACCTCAGCAAGATGGTGGCAGGGAGGATGGGACTCCCGAGGCGCAAAGAAATGGATCCCCTCCCTCCAGAACACGGGCGTTCGGTCTGTGGGTCCCTGCCCACTGGAGAAGGCCTCAGGCCCTTCTCGACCAGAATGCCGGTGGGGAAGAGCTGTCTAGCCTACAGCCTGGGGGTGCAGTCAGATCAATCAACACCTCGAAATGAAAATCGGTTCCTGTTGCTTCCCCAGCCCCGAGATGAGCTCTCCGACAAGTCGTTTGCTTCCGTCTCCCCTAGTTTCTCAGCTCTAGCCTTTACCACTCCTCCAAGCCCTGGGCCTGAAAGCAGGTGTTTCCTCCCGGCTAGCCTGATTCGCACGGACTTCTCTGCTTCAGGGTTTAGGGCCCACCTTCCACAACATCCCTTACCAAGCTGCCACCGTCCTTCCTGCCCTCCCAGATTCTGCTCCCCAAGCCATCACCCTCAGCCAAGGAGGGAGACCTTGCTTGTGGGGGAGACCCAGGCCGAGGAAGGAGATCCAGCTCCTAAACGCTAAGGGCCCAGCCCCTCGTCACCCCCAGGCTCCTTTCCTGGGCCTGGCCCAGCCTGGAATGACCCTGGTCTCCTCCCTTCCTGCAGGTAGAGGGCCCAGAGTGGAGCGGTGCATTGCAGCAGGGCCTCCAATGGGAAGGGCTGGAGAAGGGGCAGCTTGGGGAGGAGCTGAAGGAGCGGGGCCAGGGTCTCTAGATTCCCAGACTCCTCACCCTGAGGAGAGGGGCACTGCAGAATGGGATTTTGTTTCCCTTCCCTCCCTCCGCCCTTCCCCGACCCACAGGGGCCTCAGTTGAGTGCCGGCCTATTTCTTCATCTGACATTCCCCCTGCCCAGCCAGCAGGCGCCGGCATCAGGTCTGCAAGTTATTGTAAGTCCGGCAGGAATGCCCAGGAGGGAGGTGCTTCTGGACAGCAGTGCCCACTCCTCTCCCATGATGTGGCTGACCACTCCTGCGCCCTCCACACCCAGCTGGAGAAGAGCGGGTGCCCTCAGGGAGGTGGAGGAGTGTATGAGGTCAGACTGGACTCGGGGAAGGAAGCCAGCAGCCCCCTCTACCAAGAGCGAGCCAAGTTTGTGTGAGAAAGAGATCGTGAGAGAGAGAGAAGGGAGGACAATCCCGGCCTTAATTCCTAGCTCTTCGGCTAGCCACGGCAGTGACCCAAGACGCTCAGGGACTCGCCCACAGATGCCTGTGGCCCACCCAGTCCACCGAGCACTCACCAGCCCCACAGTCTCCAGCCTCGAAATTGGAAACTTTTCAATTCACCGTTCTCCTTCCTTCCTCCCCTTTGGGACCTGCGATGTATGGGGCGGTGCCCTCGGAGACACTCATACAGTTGGTTCTGGACGTTCACACACACTCAAACAACAGCGGTACGAGGGAACTCCCAGCTTTTTCCACAGCTAATTATAGATGTGAAAGTCTGAGGATGTTTTGCAAGCAGCACAGAGAAACTGCTGAGGTTTCTCTGCAAAGCTAAAGAAATTTCATTTGTGCCCTGTCCTTCCCCGCTCCTTCCAACTCCCAGCCCACCTCCACCCCACGGCCCCAGAGTGCCCCTCCCCTACTTCCCGCTGCAGCCCCTCTTTCCCGCAGAAGATTTCTTTGGTTCCCCCCCTTTTTCCCCCATCTCTCTTTTGGGCTTTCGAGAAAGGGAACAGACACGGAAAATATTTTTGCAACAGTTTTCCATCCTGCGTCCCATTCCCAAGTCAAGGGGGAAGGGGAGGACAGGAACAGAATGGGGTGAAGGAGGGGAGATAAATGTCTTTTCCAAGAGCTCAATTTTGGTGTCAAAAAGAGAGTGCCTCCATTCCTCTAACCCCATAGCCCAGGAATGACAAGAACTAGGAAAAGATCACTTGTTCCATTACATGGTTTCTCAGAACTGATAAGAGGTAAAACAGTATTTGACAAATCTGTGCACACACTGCACACACACATATTTTTAAAAACCCTCCAAAACCAGTCGCATGAAACATGCTAGAAAGAGGAAAACCTGGGAGTTTTAGAAGCCATTGAGAGAAAAGAAAGAAACAAAGTTTGCAAATCACAAGTCAATTCATTCTCTGCAAGCCTACCTCTCTTTCTAGCAAAGATCCAGGTTTCTCCGCGCGGGACTCTCCCTCCGGGTTTCCATGGATGGGGGTAGGGTGGGGTGACCACCACCAGTCTCCCCAGTGTGGCAACCAAGCTAGAGATGCTGGCTTTGCTCTCTTGCCTTTCCGGCTAAGGCCGGGGAGTGGGCTGGGTCTCCTCCCCCTGCCCTTCCAATGGGAAGGACCTCTCAGGTTCCTGAAAGAAAACGGGTGCAGGGGAGCTAGGCGGGTCTCTGATCTTGCTCTCTTCAGAGGGATGGTTTCCCAGGAAGTTCGTGCCCCCCTCCCAGCCCCCAGCTTTGGACGATCTCAACAGCGGAGCTTTCTTAAGAAAATGCTTGTCATGGCAACAGCTCCAGCTAACTCCGGCCAGACTCTTGCTCACCAGCTCTCCCCAGGCAGTGCGGGAAGAGAGAGGGGAGGAGCGGGAGCTGGAACAGAGGTGGGACTTGGCACGAGGCCAAACCATTACTCTACTGTTAAGGTGGCCCGATTCCTGCAGTTGCTTCCTGGTTCGTCTTAAGGGGGAATGGAGAGAGAAAGGGGAGGAATCCTCTCCCCCCTCAGCTTTCTTTGCTGCTCTGGCCCTCACTTGTTGAAAAGAAAGCTGAGTAGGGGCGGAGGAGGTGTGAGGGTGGAGGTAGGGAGTGGATGTGGGTGGCGGTATTCAACGGTTGCTGGGCGGAGGGGAAAAAAAGGAAGCTTCTGCCTGTGGTTGGCTTCCTGCAGCTCCTACTGGCCTCTCCACCCCTTACTCACTTAGATCCGGGACCAAGAAACCCAAGGAGTCCGTGGACACCTGTATGTCCCCTCCCACCTTCCTGCTCCTGTCTGACTAGGGGCTCCTTGGAGAAGGAGAAGAAATTGTTTTGTATGCGCACACACACACACACACACACACGCACACGCATGCACGCACCCCTCCTCCCTCACACCTCACATACAGGTCATGTTTTGTTCCCTCTTGTCCCTGTACCCACTAGAGGTATACTGACAGTGCATGGAAATTGCTGCCCCTTTATGACACCAAAAGTTTTGTCTATACAGTATCATTTCTAGTCCTCACGGCAATCTTGAAAGGTACTTATTATTAGCCTCATTTCCTAGCTGAGGAAATTGGGGATTGAGTGACTGGCCCAAGGTTATACATCGGTTAATGACAGAGCCAACGATTCAAGGCCAAGACAGACGGGCTTCAAAGCCCTTGTACTCTCCTGTACTTGTATCATACCCCGGCACACATTTCCATTTTAAATTGCACACACTCAGACATCCATGCACACTTAGACACAGCCTGTAAACTGTTAATCACACCCCCATACCCACACACCCACCAGCATTGTGCAACAGTGCCACCCATAGACATTGCATAGAACTTTATGGCTTTTTCAAGCACAAACACGCACCATCAGCTGGTTCACACAACAACACAACCTCATCGACTGACAGGTTCCCACACCGACCTCAGCAAGCACACTCACTCATGTTTGTTTGCTTACAGAAGGCACACTGACACATACCCCACAGGTTACAGCTATGAGCTATGCTGTGAAGGTGACTGGCCACTACTTCCCAACCTTTTACACAGAGGGTTGAGAAAAGGTCTCCTTGATCCTGTCACCCTAACCCAACACCTCACACCACCTTTGTCCTTCTTTGCTGTCATCCCTGTCCCAGGAAGCAGAGGCACATGCACATGGAGAAGCAGAGTTGTGAATTAGACCCAGGGAGTCTGGCTTCCCCCTGTCTAGCACCCTTCCCAATTTTCTCTCATTTCGGTCCTCTTTTTTCTCTTCATTTTCTTACCCATTTCTTTCTTTCTTTCTTTTTTTTTTTTTAAATTGAGTTGGAGTATCTCTCCGTCCCCCAGGCTGGAGTGCAGTGGCTCAATCTTGGCTCATTACAATCTCTGCCTCCCAGGTTCAAGTGATTCTCCTGCCTCAGCCTCCTGAGTAGCTGAGACTGCAGGTGTGTGCCACCACACTTGGCTAATTTTTGTATTTTTAGTAGAGATGGGGTTTTACCATGTTGGCCAGGCTGGTCTCGAACTCCTGACCTCAGGTGATCTGCCTGCCTCCACCTTCCAAAGTGCTGGGACTACAGGCACGAACCACCATGCCTGGCCTTCCTTGCTATTTAATAACTCATCCATATCCTATTTCTGAGCTGGAGAAAGTTAGACAAAAGTAATGTTTTTAGACTGGTTGGGCTGGGCTCAGGGTTCCTCAATGTGAGGCTGGAGATTGCCTGCTGCCATCTGAAAACAAAATCCAAAATAAACCCTGGCCAGGCTCTGTGGCTCATGCCTGTAATTCCAGTATTTTGGGAAGCTGAAGTGAGAGGGTGACTTGAGGCCAGATTTCAAGACCAGCCTGGGCAACATAGCAAGACCCACCCCATCTCTACAAAAAAATTAAAAACAAGAAGAAGAAGAAAAAAAAGCCCCTGCCAGTGCTTGTGTCTCTCCCTGCCAGCAGCTGAAGAAAGCTGCAGGGGTAGGGGGAGATTTTAGGGCCACGATCTATGGAAACTATGGAGTGTTTGGTCCTTTTTGCCTAGTGATTGAAAATCTCACCCTCAAGGCACTTACAGGACACTAAAGGTGACTTTTGTTCTTATTTCAGCCTCTTTCGACTCCTCTGGTCACTCCCACCTTCCCAGGGCATTTCAAGGACAGAGTTGCTTCCTTCCTTCCTTCCTTCCTCCCTCCCTTCCTTCCTTCCTCCCTTCCTTCCTTCCTTCCTCCCTCCCTCCCTTCCTCCCTTCCTCCCTTCCTTCCTTCCTTCCTTCCTCCCTCCCTCCCTCCCTCCCTCCGTCCCTCCCTCCCTTCCTTCCTTCCCTCCCTCCCTTTTCTTTTCTTTCTTTCCTTGCTTCCTTCCTTCCTCTCTTTCTTTCTTTCTTTCTTCTTTCCTTCTCCATCTTTCTCTTACCCTCCCTCCCTTTCTCCCTTCCTTCCTTTCCTTCTTACTTTTCTTTCTTATCTCCCTCCCTTCCTGCCTCCTTCCTCCCTTCCTTCCTTCCTTTTTTCTTTCTCTTTCCTTTCTTTCTCTTTTCCTTCCCTCTTTCCTCCTTCCCTCCCTCCTTCCTTCCTTCTTTCCTTCCTTCCTTCCTGCCTTCCTCTTCCTTTCTTCCTTTCTCTCTCACCCTTCCTTCCTTCCTCTCTCTCTTCCTTCCCCCTTCCCTCCCTCTCCTTTCTTTCCCTTCCTTCCTTCCTTCCATTCTTCCTTCCCTCCTTCCTTCCTTCGTTATGGGTCTCCCTAGGTTGCCCAAGCTGGTCTTAAACTCCTGGCCTCAAGTGATCCTCTCATCACAGCATTCCAAGAAACTGGGACTCTGGGCACAGCGCACGATGTGCAGGACCTGTGAGATTTTGGTAGGCCCCAGCAGAATGTCAGCGTTAGGAGCCCAAATCAATTGTTGGTGAAGACATGAGAAAGAAAGGGAAAGAAATGAATCAGCGGAAGAGAGCTACAGATTTAGCGGCTTGTCAGGCTCCCTGCTGGATGCCACAACATGACATTTTAGCACCAGTGAGTGTCAGTGGCATCTTTACCAGGAGTCTCTGAAATGACTCTTTAAATGTATTAAAGTGTATTTCAAGCCAGTCTGCAGTGGCTGTGTATGGAAGCATTGCCTAACAGTTCAGTAAACTTGTCTTGGGGGAATAACAATTTAGGCCAGATGTATGGTCCCATTAAAGAAGTCTGCTTTGGCTGCCTGTTTTGTGGGGACTGGGAAATAATACCCTCTCCTAACTGGTTATTACTGGAAAGATAAGATCTTCCCCTCAAACTCTCTGGATTCCAGGGAGACAGGCTCTGCCAGAGAAGTACTGTCAAAAGAGGCTGGGCTGGCTGGCTAGGCTCCAGGGGCAGGCCAGGGGGCCACAGCGGCCACGGATCTTCCCCGGGACTTCCATGGTGTCTGTGGGGTTGTGGGGCGAGAAAAAAGACATCCCCCTCCCACTCCATTCCCACCCCAGCCCTGCTGCAGACAGGAGGGAGGAATGTCGGGGGGTGGGACAGTGTGACCCCAGAGGAGCCGAGGGGACCTTAGCCTGACCTCTGCCACCGAGCTGACCACCGAGGCCTGTGTTTTCTGGAAAGCTAGAAGCCTCAGTGCTTCGCTTCTTGCAGCGGCAGGTTTGAGGTCTGGAACGGGTAAAAATAAATCTATCCATAAAAATAACCGACTAGATGTGGGAAACTGGAGTTGGCCCCCCTGGGGCAAGAGAGAGGACACTGCCTCTGGCATGCGAAGTTCACAATCTGCATTTTCTGCTCAGCTCTGAGCAGTCCTGCCTCCCTCTTCTCCCGGCCGTACTCCTGACTTTACAGGTTCCTGTTCTTTAGGTCCAGCCTGGCTCTCCTCAGCCTCCCCACAGCAGGTCAGTCTCTACAGGGCTTATATCACTGTGGACCCTGTCCCCACCCCATCTCTCGCTTGAAAATGCAGTCAGCACCCCGCCACACCAAGGTGCTGAACAGAATATGTTCTTCTGCCTCTTGATGGCTCCACCTCGAGTTTTCCAAATCCTCCTCATAATTTCCTGCACCTCCCCCAGTGCAGACTACATGACTTCCTGTTGTATCTACCGTTTTGCCTTGGCTAGATCAGCAGCCGTTTTCCCCATGCCCAAACTCAGTTCTTTAGGGTGTCCTTTCCTCTCACTGTTAAGATGCAAGCTGGGCCAGTCACGGTGGTGCACACCTGTAATCCCAGCACTCTAGGGGGCCAAGGTGGGTGGATCACTCAAGGTCAGGCGTTCAAGACCAGCCTGGGCAATGTGGTAAAACCTCATCTTTACTAAAAATACAAAATACAAAAAGGCTGGGCTCACACCTGAAATCCCAGCGCTTTGGGAAGCCAAGATGGGTGGACGACTTGAGGTCAGGAGATGGAGACCATCCTGAACAACATGGTAAAACCTGGTCTTTACTAAAAATACAAAAATTAGCCAGGCATGGTGGCACACACCTGTAGTCCCAGCTACTCAGGAGGCTGAGGCAGGAGAATCACTCGAACCCAGGAGATGGAGGTTGCAGTGAGTTCAGATTGTGCCACTGTACTCCAGCCTGGGTGACAGAGCAAGACTCTGTCTCAAACAATAAATAAATAAATAATAAATAAATAAATAAATAAAAATATGAACAATTTGCTGGGTATGCCTGTAATCCCAGCTACTCAGGAGGCTGAGGCCCGAGAATCACTTGAACCCCAGAGGCTGAGGTTGCTGTGAGCTGAGATCCAGCCTGGGTGACAGAAAAAACAAAACAGAACAAAAAAAATAACAATGGAAATTGACATTTTGTTAGTGGTCCTAACCCCACCTGACCCAAGCTGAGCCAATTACATCCTTTCCTGAGAGTTTTGCACTTAGGATTAAAGAGAAAACAAGGCTTGGTTCCTGCCGTGAATACCATGAAGAGAGGCTCTGGAAGTATCAGGGGCCATGTTCCCTGTCCCCTGGAAGAAGCCTGCAGCAAGAAAGGATACAGCTTGCACGCAAGAGAGGCAGAGGAGAAAGCTAAGGACTGAGTACCAGCAGCACTGGAGTTGGTTGTACCTCTTATCCCACTGTACCCCTGCCTTTCCTACAGTTGAGTTACATGACTCATTCATTATACATGCCTACGCTAGATGAAACTAGGTTTTTTGGTCACT